CACCCACTTTATACACCAGGTACTACCACTTTATCTCTATATAACTCTAATATTATTTTAAATTTTATTTTAGAATGTACTCTTTTTAAATACTGTGACTTATCCTATGTCTGCATGTGACTTTATTGGATTAATAAATATTATTATTATTAAAACAACTGAATAATATTTTTCAGTTATATGATGATTGCACCTACTATCCAGCAGACAAGATGTAGAGTATGGCTCCAGAAAAACCTTCCTCCGAGCGTTGCCTTATCTGATGTTACCAGTATGTTTACTGCACTTTGTATCATGGGTCCTTACACAAGATCTCTTCTCTCCGAACTTACCGATACTGATCTGAATCCGAAAAATTTTCCATTCTTCACATATAAAATGTTAGATATAGGATTAGCCAATGGAATCAGGACTATGAATTTGACGCATACAGGAGAATTGGGTTATGTCATGTATATCCCAAATGAGGTAATCGGTAATCTGTAATACAGAATATTCGTCGAGGATACATCTCTAAGCTATAGAATGCATAGGCTCAGAGCCGGGACAGCAGTGTGAACTACTGTGTGTTTCAACATAATTGACCACTGTTGCTTATCGGATATTGATTTTTTGTGCTATTCCGGTATACAACCCAATCGTATTATCAGAATGGTTATTTTATTTAAGTAGGTTAAATAATATGCATTGAATCAGGAGGAAGAAGCATTCAAGAGTTCTTGAAGTGTCATCTGCATATTGAAGGAGGAGTTGATAAAATATTCTGGGTTCTGGTTGTAGGTATCTGAACAGTATAGGTTGTGTAATAGCGGGAAGAGGAGAGATCCCCGAGGAAGTCCTTACTGCGGAGTGAAATTTTTGAGGTGACATTGCAGACCTTCACTTTCAGCAGTCATTCTGTTGTTGAGCAATAGTTTGTACAGTAGACTCTTATGCTAAACACTATCAAAAGCTTTACTTATATCTAAGAACACAGCCCGTGTCTTTTTTTTATTCAACTTTGTTGTTTCTTAACTTTGAAAACTTTCAAAGGATGTCTCAACAATTTCAAGGAAATTAAGAAACGAAAATTTAAAGAATGTCTTTATAAATCCCTGAATTTTAGAAAAGACTTTGGCTCGGTTTATAATTGTTCTACAACCAAAATACACTAGTGAATTGGTCCAAATTTTCGAAAAATTAAACATGGAAGGGCCTTTTGAAACTTCTCATACACTTCAACCTGAGAGACAGGATAACTGAAAAGGTAAAGTGACGATTGTGACAAAAATTATGTTGGTCAAACTAAGCGGACTGTAATAACTCGTTACAAGGAATATTTTTTACATAAGCAATTTCACAGACCAGAGAAGTCTGGTGTCACTTAATCTGCCCTTGAGAACAACCACAAAATCGGTGACAAATGCATGAAATTGTTGAGACTGGTACGTGACAAGAGGCTCTCGGACACCTGTGAAGGTTTAGAAATGAAACAGCAACAAATGCCCTATTCTAAATCTCCCGTTGATATTCTTTCACATAACAATTACAGTTAAAAATCAGGTAAATATTGGCTATCATAACAGTTAGTCATCAACTTATTAATTATGATTTAGCATATAATAATAAAATAACACAATAACCCTAACGTAGCTGTAATATTTAGGTTTAATCATCTACTGAGGCTGCTAACTGTTAGTGAAACGTGTGTTGAAGATCGGTACCTTTGTTCTGGTGTGGGAAACGTGTTTTCAATACTTTATCCATAATAATTTTGGAATATTCACAATAAATTCAGTTACTCATCAGTTACTGATAACACTACCATGTATCAAAACGCGTTTTAAAGAGTAACAATGTCAATAGTTTTCATCAAGTAACGGGAAGTATTCAATAAAATTCAGGTACTCAGGGTACTCGGAATGAGACTTCACGTATTAGATAATTACAATTAATGTCGCCTGATATAATTTTGAATGAGGTAATGATATTTGTTTGTTCTACGAAAAGAAAGAGTGTTGAGATTCGCAATATCAAGTATATCCAAACAATCGTATTCTCCAACTATGAGGTCAGGCTACAAGTTTGAGGAATCTATTTTGGATTGCTTCAATATTATTTTTATGTACTTAATAATAAGGAGACCAGACTGGTGACGTAGACATCAAAACAGATCTTTCATAGGCTAGGTAAACAATTGTAATGTTTGGCAATATCTTCAGGATTTCATTGAACTTCTATCTAAGATTTACAGTTATCATTATCTTTAATTTCATTTCAATAAACCGCATCAACCCTTTGGGTCATTAGCGGTGGAGTTACATTACAACTTTTTATAGAAACACATGTTCACTTTGAAATCATCTTCTTCTGAGTTTTACGACTTGAAGACGTATCCCTGGCGAATGTACTGTAGTAGCTCAATATTAATTGTCATATATAGGGTTGTCCTCATTTGCTATATACAATCAATTGTATAAATCATTTTTCAGTCAAATGTTATTTCGAACAAGTATTGAATTGTTTGAATAAATTCATTAACCTTGTTTTAGTTTGCTCTTCATGTATATTCCAGTCTAGTGCAAGCAGGTGAAAAGTACGGAATCACTCATGCCGGTCACTACGCTACCAGAGCACTACGTGTAGAAAAATTTTTTGCTTTTTGGGGTCAGGATCTGGACACAACAACTACACCTTTAGAGTGTGGCCGAGTCTGGCGTGTTAAATTTGATGTTAGTAACGTTTGAATAATTATTTGATAGATATTTTAGGTTATCTCGTTTCAGAAAGAAATTGACTTCATCGGTAGAGATGCTCTTCTGAAACAGAAAGAAAACGGTGTGAAACGAATGTACCTTCAGTTGATCTTGCAAGATCACGATTATGAGACTGATTTGTGGCCTTGGGGTGGAGAACCAATATACCGCAACGGTAAATATGTTGGTATGACTACTACAACTGGATATGGATACACTTTCAAAAGACAGGTATTTCAATAACATTTCTAGATGGAGAATTATTGTGAAATGTTGATAAGAATTTCAGCATCTTGACAGCATCATAGAGTGAGAGATTAAATAGTATACACATAGATCATACACTTTAGACAGGTACTTAACAATATATAGAATATAAAAAACCATTCATGTACATCTATATATACATAAATATACATGAGAGTAAATTAATCTTCAACTAAGATAAAAGAAATGCAGTGAAAGCAGTGTAAAACCCTGTTTTGTTCTGATTTCTTTTATCTCTTTTTTTGCTGAAAAATGTGCCTGTTCTGCCATTTTGAAAACTAATATTTTTCAGGTTTGTCTTGGATTTGTTGAAAATATTGATGAAAATGGTGAGCGGCAGAAAGTTACCAATGATTATGTCACAAGTGGTGATTATGAAGTGGATATCGCTGGAATAAGGTGAGAGAGCTCACCTTTTTTCATTTTCTACTGGTGAATGATTATTATGTCGATACAATTACAAACAATATACACTTTTCACTACTTCTCCTATAATACCTTTTTTCGCAATACACAGTTGCTGTCATTGTTTAATTTCTGTTGCAGATATCATGCAAAAGCCAATATACATTCTCCCATTCTTCCAACAAAACATCCAGACAAAGAGCGTGATGCATATCAGGCTACAAGAGGCAAAAATAATGAAGAGAAACGTGTCAATCAAATCTTCAAGGCTGTTTGAATGTGATAATTCAATATTACTATTATTAATTTTGTAGTGACTGATTATTTATTTTCAATTCTGAAATATGACGGGTATCTGTAACATCGTATCACTTGGGAATACTAGAAACCACATTATCTTGATATTCTGAATCAGCTAGGAATAAGATATTACATACAGGGTGTGTCACATTGGGCCCTATCAGAAGTTTCTGGTAAAGGAGTGGAGTCATAAAAAAATGTTGAGCTGAAGAGTTTGTAGACTAACATAGAAAAAAAATTATAAAATTTTATATCATTATTCGAGGGCGAATCAACGATTATAGCGGTCATACAATTTTTCGATACCATGTTTGAAGTATGATTTTTCAGTGTCGACGATTATCTCATCATTGGCGCTAAATATCTGTCCAGCGAACATTCGTCTGGGGACTGAGAACAAGAAAAAGTCGCTGGGGGGCAGATCTGGGGAATTCAGTGGATGCAGAAGCAGTTCAAAGCCCAATTCATGCAATTTTGCCATCGTCTTCATCAATTCGTAACACAGTGAATTGTTTTGATAAAACAGCACTTTCTTTTTCTTCAAATGGGGTCGTTGTTGTTGATGGTTTTTCCCTTTTCAAGATAGTCGGTCGATATACCATGCACATCCCAAAATACTGATACCATAACCTTGCCATTCGACTGTTGCGTCTTTGCGTGCTCTGGAGTTGGTTCATCACGTGCAGTTCACTCGGAAGATGATCGTTTTGATTCTGGTGTGAAATGATGGGGTCATGTTTCATCTATTGTCACATATCGACGCATAAATTCGGGTTTTTTATGGTGGAAAAGCTTCAAACTTCGCAGAATCATCAATTCGTTGTTGTTTTTAGTCGACTGTGAGCTCGCGAGGCACCCACCTTGAGCACAGATTTCACATACACAAATATTCATGCACGATATGTCCAACACGTTCCTTAGATATCATTAGAGCCTCAGCTTTCTCGATCAACTTCACTTTGCGATCATCCAAAATTATTTTGTGTTTTCATCGGTATCAGCCCCAGCTGATTTCCCAGGTGCAAAGTCCGAATAATGTTCATCAAGGCACAACAGTATTTTTTTTCGTCAAAAAGCAGTGCTTTACTCACACACGAAATTCTGTTTTACCCATTTTTTTCAAACTGACAAAAGTTCACTCTCATAAACTAATAGTCCGACAGCTGTGAAATTTGTACACATGTCTTTTGAAGGTTAGGGTTAACTAAAAATCAGTTGGAATTAATACTAGTAGCGCCATCTGTGTGTTAGCCTACGTACTTTTTAGCCCAGCTAGTACTTTATACGACTAGTTGGTGCATTTCGTTCACCTCGTTTGGGCTATCCCACATACGAAATGGGAATTGCACAGTACCCCTTGACATACTTCGAGACTCGCTGCCAATCAGGTCAAACTCTGCTGTTGAGCCAACGTCAAATCAACTTTTTTTTTGTTTTCTCTCGGCTCATCTGTAGTTTGAAATCAATGTAGATAGTTTTGGTTTTACTTTTAAACAAGTGAAATAACAATCAGTAGGGCAGCTGCCTTCTCATTAATTTTTCCTACAGAAAATATTATGTGTGTACTTACGCTTGATCCGAGTAAACACTTAGAGTGGTTGTTAAAACTATAATTGTTTCAACAACTAATGTTAAATTAGTTCAGATTACTCTGTACATAATGTGGTTGAAAGTGTGTTATCATATTATAATTATGAATTTTCTTCTCAGTAACAAGATGAATATATAACACTTGAGTTGAAAAACTCATAACAGTGTTTTGATGTATGAAAAAATTTGGATATGTATAAATCTAGAATTCATTTGTTGCAGTTTTATTGTATCAATTAATTTCAGTGAATTTGAGTATTGTGTATATATTGCTGATGTAATGCTCAATTTTGTGTTCTGCTCAGTATTGATTATAAAATAACGTCAAAAGAACTGATGTTGAGAATCTATTCTTGAAAATTGTGTCAGTGGCTGAAATGTATATTATTTAAAATGAGTTCAATATATACTTTACTTTGTGAGTGTTTTATTTATTTCTGGAACAAAAATAAATTACAACAAATGAAAATGTTACATCATAATATAAATCAGAGTAGTGTTACACTCAAGTGTAAAGGGTTTTTGATGTTGACTGCTAAAATTCTTGAAAATGTTTTTTTACCAACTTGTTGATAAGAGCCTGATTTTTTTTCAAATAAAAAACCTAGTTTCAGAAAAGTGGTACTTTAACATTGAAAACCCAGAATACCTGTAAATCATCAGTACAAAAATAAAAATGTCGTCCTTCATTTTGATTATACAGTGCTATTCAAATTCGAGTCTATGTCTAGGAATCTCGTAAACAGTAAGAGAGTCGGTTGGATTGTTACAAGGTTGACTATTTTTGGGTACTACTGCGAAGAGCCAGTAGTCGCTGGAGGTACGTTGGCGGACGTCCGAAGGCTTTACAGAAAACGGCCCAGGCGAAGCTTTCTAGCTTACAGAGACAGGCTTGTTTGGCCATCAGTGGTGCCATTGGTACCACCAAGTCAGTGGCCATAGAGATCCTTCTAGATCTACCTCATCTCCACATTTTTCCGGAGAGAGAGGCTAGATGGACTGCATATAGACTTGCACAAATCAATTTAATGCAGAGTGCAACAAACTGTTGGTTGACACTGGAAGACACAGCATTCTGGAAATGACCTCTGACTTTATACCTCCAACTGTCAACTACGAACTGCCTTATAAAGTACTGTTCCCGAGTAAAGAGGACTGGATCCTCCGGGAGAAGGAAATATTAAGAGCAGATAATTGGTTCACAGATGGATCAAAAACACCTTCCGGTTCTGGTGCAGGTATTTTTAGTCGCAGACTCAGGACAGAGATATCTACCTGCCTAGGAACTTATGCGACTGTATTTCAAGCGGAAATTTACGCTACTAAATTGTGTGCGGAGAGATTGGAAGAATCCACAAGTTGGAAGAATCCACACAAGTCAATGAAAATATTCTCGGACAGTCAAGCGGAGTTTGAAGCTCTTGGGGGGTGAGTGCAATAAGACAAACGTCATCTGTGTTAGGCCCGAAACTTCAGCCCATAGTCTGATTTGCTTCCACATCTGCAAGTTTATGTTGAAGTCACCTGTGAATATGATGTTTGACTTTGGAAGTATTTAACTTTTCAAAATACACAATAGGAAACTCATTTTTTTTCGAGACAAATCAATGGTCGCGGAGATCTTCACTAGCATCATTGTCCACCATGAGATGAGATTGTTCCGCAATATTTTGATATGATAAAGTAATTGGTTACAAAAACTAATTCATCTTGTTTCAATCAATGTTCGTTTATTAACACAACTTTGGAAAATCTGAGTCTTCTAAGTACCTATGTATATAATTCATCTGTTTTATTTCTCATCAAAACCAGTACAAATATCGTTTTCAGTTGAACGTCCACTGCTATTCGTGATAATTGGGGGTACAAAAATGATTAACTGGGACATTTGAAATGGAACTAGATTCATTGTCTATTCGTCCTTCTATGATTGAACTCTGATCTATAGCAGCTAACCCATGTTGTAGAGTGCTATGCTATGGCTTGGATCTTCATATTTTGCCTTTCTTTGAATTCCTTCGTATTTATTTCCATGACAACCGAATTGTTCGTTCCTGCATTTTTCAATGTGGGTTAAAACATGTTTACTTATTAGTGATTTCCTTCAATTATTCATGAAACCATGTTTTTTATAACAAGATCTGTGGTTTGATTCAAATAAAATATATTGTCATGCTTTCCATTATGAATATATCGGTAATGATGAATTTTCATAATGAATGTATTTGTATTAGGTAGGTAATGCCTTTGATATGTCGCCTAATTAATGTATATCTATTATGTAGTCATTTGGCCCAAAAAATTTAATAATCGTTTTTAGTACAGTAATATCTTGTTAGCATAAGGTTTGATAACTGATTGAATTGTCTGGCGGTCTTTTTTAAAAATGTGTAAGATATCCTATATTTCCCGAAGTATCCAGAAAATAAAAGAATTTTTGATTTCGTTTTTATGAGGTTGTTTTCAATAATACCCCCCTATACCCCTTCGAAATGATGGAATCTTCTTCGTGTCCACATTAATCTTTTTGCAGAAATTATATTAATTATTTCTTACACCTTCCTCTCTGTTACTGATTTTGACACGTAGAAATTCCTATAGTTTTTTTGTTCTACTGGGCTTGTTTGGGTGCCAGCACAACTTGTAGTTTTCATAGTTTTTTCTACTTTTTGTCGTATATCGTCAATTAGTTTTAGCCTATCGGAGATTTTATCTTTATACTCATTAAGTGATTCATTGTATGCTGTTCCTAATAGCAATTTTTCTTTAAAAAGAATTACCTGTTCTTTGTTAAATTTTTCCATATGATTATCGTAATATACCTCACTTATCGTTTTACCAACGAACTAATCCCACTAGCATTGTGATCGTCGTGGATGTTTCAGCATAAAACTATGTTATCTTTTGAAAACTACTTACACCTTATTTTTATGTTTTTTTTGGGGATAGATTTTTTGGTATACTGATAAATAACAATGTTCACATACGAATACTGCAGGATTGATTTAGTTTCACAGCACTTGAAAGACATTTTGGAGGCACTAATAAAATTCACACATATACACACTAACTTAAAACAGTATAAATAATGTTTGTCATTATATGGTCAATGGTTGAAAACCCATAAACAGTTGTTATAGAGGAAAGTTATATCTCTCATTTTCATTTTATTGGCTCTTCAATCATCGTCATCGTGATGATTTTAATGTAGTACCTATTAATCAAATATCAAACAAAGAGTTCGGTTGTTTTGATAAAGTGACTTTTGGAATGTGGATTTTACTGAAACAAAAAATTCCGTCTCACAACTTTGTTCTGTTCTGAATATAAAAAATATAGAAGCACAAAAACAAAAATAATTATCGTATCAAATTCTAAACGAGGCAACTTTTTATAATCAATTTGATTGCCAACAACTTATCATTTATTAAGAGCGCGAAGTTCAGTTTGAATTTGAATTTTATTCAAATTTGGCGTCTATTGTCCAGCCAATAGAAAAATAATTACTTGGATCCAGCCAATAGCTATTGTCCTCAGAGATAGAAAACAAAAGCCGTTAAATACCACTATGTTCCATGGCTTATTGCATTTAGCGTCATGTTTTAAGTGGGTAGTTGAAAGTGCATAATATTTTGTGCAAAGAAAATTCGGAATTTTAAACGGTAATTGTTGATTTGAAATGGCTTCACCAAGCAAACGACTTCGACTTTCCCCGAGATCATCCCAAAGTCTTAGGACAACTCAGGATACCCAGGACTCGAAGATTACAAGTACCCCCATAAGATCAAGTGGAAACTTCCATTCTCCAGACATTTCAAGTATATCCTCTAGCAGAACTGTAAGAACGCGGTTGTCTGATGTCTTTGAGGCAGAAGATAATAGAGAAGTTTTCGAGTCTTCTAGCATCAGTGCCAAAGAAAAAGATGCGAGGTCATTGACTCCTGCTACCACAGTTTCCGAGGTTTCATATATTCCAGTGGGTAAGACAAACCTTTATCATGATTTCTTCAACCATACATACAAAGTCATATCTTTTGCTTTAATTTATAGTCTTCTTAGGAAAATATCAGTAGAAATTTTCAGTCTACAGATACTTTTATTTCTTCAAGATAGGAACTGGAAACAGATATCCATCTGAAACTACCTCACTCACTCACTCATTTTGAACTTCTCATGGTGATTATTGAAATTTTGAGTTTTCTTTGACTTCTTGACACTGTTAGAAACAAATCTCTTTCAAGACAATATCATATCACAAAATAGCTGATACCAATGATAAGGATTGCATATTAAGAATTCCCAGAGATAAAAATATTTAAAAAAAAACTTTTTTTGGTTTCCCACCTCTGGATTAATACTTGAATTGTATGATAATTTTGAGTTGATATTTTTTTCCAACAGCTTGACCATATTAACCTTTCTCTATTTCATATCATTTCCAGAAACATGTGGATTCGTTTTCCAATGGCGTTCCAGAAGAGCTTCCCAAATTTCTGTTAACGCAGTTGTCGGTTTTGAAGATCGGTTAAACTTGTCTTGGTTTTTCTCAGTTTGTCTTCAATCGATGACTGCCTGCCCAGTACTGATGATGCCCAACAGGCTGAAACATCTGTCTTACCAGTGGCTCTTTCAAAATATTTATTTTCTAATACGTATGTATCTCTGCTGGATACAGTCTTCAGACATGGTTTGACCACTGTTAGAGTATTGGTACATGGGATGTTTCTTTCCTGCTTGGCGTTTTGTTCACGAGATGAAGCTGTTACTAGCTAACAACCTTTCTCTCAGAAGAAGGTTTCATACATGCAGTTAAGACGCGTTGAAATTAATTGATTTCCAGGCACTTTGCTGTTTGGGTCAGATCTTTCCTGCACTGATGAGAGGTGATACTTGAAAACCGGTCTGTAGGTGATACTCAAATAATTTCAGCATAGTCGTGCTGCTGGGTGAATGAGAAATATCTGCAAGACTAATCTCTGTGAGGTATCTGGCATAAATATCTGTCGGATATAATTCAATATCCAGGCACTGGGGTGTAGGTAGTTTGGAGAGATGAATATTTTGAGATTTTAATTCGAAATAGCTATTTAATGTGTGAATAACTACAATTAACATTTGCTAATGTTTTTAAATTTCAGAGGAGGACTACGATGCATATTTCAATAATTTGGGAAGAATCAAATATGTAGGGACAGTTTGGAAGTTGTACAAGCCTGTGAATGAGCATTCACTTTATCATAAAATTCTAGACGACCCTTTAAGTATACAGGTGCTTATGAAAATATGGCTAATAGTTCAAGTTTATAATTTGGTTAATTGTAGGAAATTGTTACAAAATTGTTCTTGAAATTCAACGAGAAACCAGAAAAAGTTGTTCACAGTTTAATTCAACTCTGTTTGGATGTTGCAAATTTCCAGAATTTTGATGTTACCAAGTATTACAAATTTCGGGAAAATTCAGAGAAAGAAATTATTGCTTTACTGGAAACTGATGAAGTCATTGATGATCATGAGATACTAAAGGTAATTGGAGATTTTATAAAGACTTTCCATCGTTAACAGCCTGACTTTACAGAGTAGTGGGAGATACTTATTTATGGAGTCGAGAAGTTCCCTTGTAAAAACGATGAAAATGGCCATTTACAATTTCTTCAAAAAACTGATCCTGGCTTCATATGATAATAACGTGCTGTTCAATAAATTTTTCTCGAAAAATCTTTTTAATTTCATCAAGTGCATGTCTTTCAGTAATATGATGGTCCTTCGACATACTGGTGTCATTATAGGTATGGAAATTGTGGATAATGTTCAAAGTTTGAAAATCTTTGTTATATTAGCTTACAGGTATAAGGATTCTGATACTTCTTCATCAAAATATATTTCTCTTTCAGCTATGAAAATCCTGACAGCTTTAGTGATAATTTACAACAACATCATTCATCGTCTCAACAACTCAAGTTCATCTGGTTCTGTTGAATCAGAAAAGATTGATCGAGAAAGTCAAAGAAAAGTTTTCAACAGTCTAATTGAATATTTCTATTTCATAGTCATTAAAAACTGGTAAGTTCGAAAGTCCCATGACTGACTTATCTGAGATTTTTCTTTTAGTCGTTTGCAAGAAAATAGATTACTCCTTATGAGAATAGAGTGTATACATGAATTTCAAGTTTGGGTGAAGTATTTTCCAAAAATTTTCATCAGTGAGCTCCAAGTTTGCACTTGTTTAAACAGACTCATAATTGATTCGGTAAGTATTTCAATAAATTTAAATTGTAAACTTGGCAACTTGGGTATTTTTATTTATTTATTTGTTTATTTAATATGTATGATTGATGACTTGTTTACTTTATGGTAATTCATGATCACTTAAATGAAATGAATAAAAACACTTTTGTCTAAATATCACTGGTAGATAAAATCTACCAGTGATCGGTCGTATGAATAATAGGTCAATATGTTCAACCTGATTTTTAAAAGAGTACAAGGATGAGTTTATTCTTATTCTAATGATGGTTTCATTTAAGCCATAGCTAGTAGAATGGTAAGGAACTTTAAACAACTCTGACACTCCGGTTCTTCTTGAATTTACATTGAAGTTAATAATTTGTGTTACAAATGGACAGTTCATATCACCATGTATACCTTTATGAAGAAGTCTTAGATCAATTTCAGCTCGGCAGTGCTCCAAAGTAGATAAATTCAGAAGAAGCAGAATGTCTGAGTACTCATAGTTGGACCTCAGATATCCGAGCTTGAATGCACATGATCTCAGAAATTTGTTTTGTACTTTCTCAATCATAGATATATTTGTCTGATATAGAGAACTCCATATCACGCAATTATTTTCTAAGACCGAGCGTACCAAAGAACAGTACAATATTCTAAAGGTGTTTATAGAAAATTTATCTGTAGATTGTTGAACAAATCCCAATAATTTGCGTGATTTAGATATAATGTGATCAATATGACCTTTAAAGGTTACTTTGCTATCAAACAACACTCCCAAGTTTTTGATTTTATATGGATGTACAATAATAGGTTTCACAGATTCAAGACCTGTGAAACCGCTCTTGAAAATGCTATTTGATAACATTTATTTATATTTAAATGAAGCATGTTTTCATCACACCAACGAGATAAGTTATTTGAAGAAGGGATTTGAATTAAAATATAAAGACAAAATAAAAATTGATGAGTGAATAAATATTTTTGCAGAAAAATTGAAATTCACCTTATTTTTTGAACACACCTTTTAATAAGGAAATACAATCGTATAATTAACTACACTTATATTTGTGTTTTTTTCAGTCGAAAGATGTCCGATATGCAGCTCTTGAAGCATTCGAACGTTTTATAGAATCTCCTACTATTATAGAGTTCCTAAAACCGAACATATCTGAATTTATAGAAGTTATTTCTAAAAGGTTTTACGACATCGATTATAAAGTGTCAGTAAAAGCAATAGATATTTTTACCATATTGTTACAGAGGTAACTTGTTCATAATTTTATTGCAGCAACTCCTAATGATTTTTGTTTTAGTAATGAAAACTTTGTATCTACTCATCATTTTCAATTGATAACAAATTTGGTTTTTGATAAAATTTTCCATGTAGCAGAGGCTGCTGCTCGCTTTCTTAAAAAATTTCTTCAAGTTCAGGAATATTCCTCTGAATGTATACTTGAAAAACTTGCAAAAATGTCACTCTTGGTAAAACCTCTCGAGCAATATTATTCTGAGTGCTTAATGACTATTATTTCAGCCTAATGATTGTTCAAAACAACTTGTTGTCGAAAGTTTCCTTAATTGTTGCTCGGAAATGCAAAACTGGCAGTTATATTTGAAACTTTTGCTTGGCAAAGAAATTCAAGATCTGAAAATGAGGGAAGCCTTGGCCGAAATGTTAGCGGAGGCCATACATCAAATTTTGATTGGAAAATCTACAAAACAGAGAACGTTTTCACGAAAAGGTAAATAGGTCTCTCTGATGCTTTTTAAGTCGTTTTTGCCAATGAGAAAATTCATAACATCTGTTTAAAATATGTTTTTCCGTTAATCAGCTGTCGCCCCCATACGAACGACAACTCTCAGAAGTTGAGAAACTTGTGCGAGCTAAGGACTAACGAGGTCTTACCTTTTAATGTGTGATTCCTAACATGCGATAAGGCTTTGTCTTTGAAATCCATCTTTAATTATTTGACTTTATTTTCATTGTTTTCACATCACATTTTAAACAAACTGGACATTTTTGCATATATTTTTTTTCAAGCCTGAAGATTATCAAGGAGAGACACACCACCAGCAGCAGGACCATGCTGAAATCAGTCAATTAGATCTCCTACAGACCGGTTTTGAGGTATTACCTCTCAGTGCAGGAAAGATCCGACTCAGACAGCAATGTGTCTGCGACTTGATTAATTTCAACGCAGCTCGCCTGCATGTATGAAACCTTTGTCTGAGAGAAAGATTGGCAAGTAATAACAGCTCCATCTGTTGAACAAAGCTCTAAGCGGAGAAGAAACATCTCATATGCCAATACTCTTGACAGAAATCATGGTGCTGTGACCTGAAAATAGTCATTATAAATGTATTTCAAATACTCAAGTTTTGACCATTGGAGTACCTCAAGGATCAGTGTTGGGACCGCTATTATTCATATTATATTGTAATGATGTTGGGACCGCGGTTGCTGAGAATACGTGCGTTATGTATGCAGATGACACATTACTTGTACATCTAAAGATTGAACCTCAAATGTACAAGCCCGTCTCAGATATACCTACACAGTTGGTCTGCTAGGCGTCAGTCTATTCAACCTACTGTGTAGGTATATCCGAGACGGACTTTACAGTTCATTTCTTTAGATTCGTTTACTGCCTGTCTTCAAGCATAGCCCACTGACTAATAAGAAAGTTTTTCTTCCTTATTCAGAGAAATCGGGCAAATTTCTGATATGCAGTTGGTTAGTACCTCATTCACTAGATGGAATGACAAGGAATGAAATACTCCAACTATGGAATATCATTGACTTTAGGTCGATGATGGCCACTGTCTTGCATTGACGAGTGGCTAATGAGCCACTTAGGTCTGTAAGTGTGACCGTTCCAAAATTGAAGGTCGACTCTTTCACTTGTATTGCCAATTGCATATGCAGTGAAGATTCCTGTACTGACGCCTATCGGATATTATCCAACGCCGTTCGTGGTATTAGCCAATGGAGTAGTTGTTTTCTGATAAACGTCAGTACATTCAACCTACTGTGTAGGTATATCCGAGACGGGCCGTCAAATATGATATAACCGCTAACTCACCTTCTTACTTGTGGCTAAAACTTTATAACAAACTGCCCGAATAATTGAAAACTACTGATAGAATTCAGACTACAAATATATGGAGAACATCCTACAGTTTTGAATCAATTGCTCAAGATATTTCCATTGGTGAATACCAATCATATATCTGGTAAACTCTGTGTAGTAAGTTTTTTCATAAGCAAAATCCTATTGTTGGGGACATGGAAGTAGTACTTATTTTGAGAAAAATCGTTTATTTGGTATTTTATTTCAGGAATGTACTGATCTTTTCAGTACAATGACTATATTGTTTGGTTATCATTCGGATGAGGGTTTACTGAAGAAATTGGCAGAAACCATGTACCATTTTGGAACCATCGCAGCTATTAGAGAAAGGATAAAGCAAGCTACTGAAATTTTGTGCACTAAACATGTTGACGAACTGCAAGCTTTCCTTTCGAACCCTGTAAATACTTTTACCAGAGGTTATCAGAGAATAATAGTATATTAATTAACTTTCATTTCAGACCAAGCACGTGTGTAAGGCATCTCTTAGAGTTGCTGTTTTATTTTCCCATTTCAATTTGACTGAAAACTTTACCTGGGAGATATTGTGTGACTGTTGGGCAGACGTGAATGAGAAAGTTTGTAGTGGTACCTTAGTTGATTTCGAAAACTCAAAAATGTGACTTTTTAGACGATTGCCAATCTTATGATCTGTTGCAAATGGTTCTTGATTTGGCATTTGCGGAATTTATGGGATATGGCTCAGAAACATCAGACAAAAGAGCTTTCGAATATGTTCACACCACTCTTACATAAGTGTAATGAGTTCACCAGTTCATGTATCAACATGATTCAACATTTGCGAGGCGAAAAATTACATTTTCAGGTATACTATGATTATTCATTGCAAAGTAGATATGAACTTATACAGTGCATTTCTTTAATGTCCCCCACTTTGCTGCCTGGGTCGGATTTTTCCTGCAGTGTCCCTCCCATTTTATTTTTTGAATGGGTCAACTTGAAAAATTGAAATTTGGGATAATGATATTAATGCATGAATACTTTATTTTGAAGTGAAATTGACAGGTGAAACTTTCAAAATGGCGACTGGGCGCCATCTGGGAAAAAAATTTAATGAAAAGGGGGGTCTTGTGACAGATTATTTTGAANGAAGCGAATCCTAATGAATTCGATATGGATATTGTATTCCAACAAGATGGAGCACCACCACATTACTCCAGACAAGTAAGGAACTATTTGGATACTACTTTTCCCGGTCGTTGGAATGGCCGCCGAGGTCCTACAGAATAGCCAGCCCGCTCGCCAGATTTGACACCTTTGGACTTTTTTATGGGACTATTTGAAGCAAAAGGTGTACGAAACTGAACCTGCTTCAATATTGGATATACGGCAGAGAATAATAAATATTTGTAGAGATATTGAGGTTACTGTGTTCGGAGTGAAATATCGGATAGGCTGTTCATATGTCAAGTAGTTCAAGGCAACCATTTCAAGCATCTTCTGAACTGACCTGAAGCCTATTACCTCATATTATGTAGGTAAATGTCAATGTTTTCAGTCAATTATTAAAAGTTTCGACATTTTGTAGTAGTTGAAGATATTGACATCATATTCTTTTAATAAGTCATAAAATTTTATCTGATTCTCAACATGGATTTCGCATGGGCAGGTCAACTGAATCTGCTACTACCCTTTTTGTTGTTTTCATATCTAGGAATATGGACAATAGGAAGCACGTGGCAGGAATTTTCTTTGACTTGTCTAAAGCTTTCGACTGTATTAATAAAGTGTTTATGGCTTCCAAACTGTATAATATTGGCATTAGAGGAAATATTCTTGACTGGATCATTTCATTCCTTTCAAATAGACAATTCTTTGTAGAAATAGATAGTGTTGAGTCAGAAAGATATTCACTTGATGTTGGAGTAGCGCAAGGTTCAATTCTGGGACCATTACTTTTCTTAATATTTCTCAATGACCTCCCAATTAATGTCGATAGGCGCTTTTATCTAATCAATTTTGCTGATGACACAACATTTGCTATAGCCGAGTCATCTATGGAGGATATGATTTTATCAGTCGAACTCTGTATTAGTGAAATGACAAAATATTGTCATTCCAATAAACTGATGCTAAATGCACAGAAAACAAAAATTATATATTTCAATAAGAACAATTTGATCGATAGTAAAGTCCTACAGACACATAACTCCACTAAGTTTCTGGGTGTAATGATTGATAAATCACTCTCATGGTCTGAGCATATTGAAGGTTTATAAAACAATTTGAAAATCTGATACTGAGAATTGAAGATGCTCAAATACAAAAATCTTTGACTAATTTTCTGCATGAACGTGTTTTATGTAATAGTGAAAGTAAGCAAAGTGACACATTTCTTATATTTTTACTTAGATAGTTTCTTTCTTTTTTAGTGGAACTTGTTGAACGTAGAGAGAATGTTGTTAGATATATTGATATGGTTCATTGCAACATTTTGCCTATAGAAGCGCTCGCCAATATTTTCAAATTCTATCACGCTGTAAGTATTTGCCTAGGAATAACCTTCATGAAATTCATCAAAAAAACGTTCTTTCAGAATTACAATGACTATGGTTCCATAATAGAAAGTTCTTTATCGAGCATGTTGCAGGCAGATGATGAAAACACAATATATCTCGTTATTGTGTATACCTTAACTGTTGTCTACGAAGAAATCGTCAGAAAATTATCTGTAGTTGATATCAACACAGACGAAGCAAAACATCTCAAGGTAATTAATAACAGTGCAGTAATAGATCAAAATTGATTAAAAACGAAAGGGGTATATGTTTACCTACCTCTCTATCTTTATACATAAAATGTGAGAATCTCCCAAAGAAAGAAAACAGTTGACTTGCAGGAGACTGATATGAAATCCAGGGGTTCTGTTTTTAAGCTTTCTAGTGTCCACATTTTTTTATCTTTGCTTTCTGCCCAACGTCTCTTCAACCAGCTTCTTGGAGTATTCATTCTGTTGAAGAATCCTTTTAATGTTGCACCATTTCTTCTAGAAACTTGCATTGGTATTGCAGGTTGAATGCACAACGAATCAGGGTGCTGATGTTTCTTCTCTTGGTAGAATGATGGTTTGTTTAGATGAATAATTCAAGTACTGATTTCCTTTATTGTCGTTGCTGCAGTTCATTTTGAGAATAATATGAGTTTTATGAAAGATAACANTAGCTGTTTTAGGAGGGCTTTTTCTTCCAGTTTGTGTCTGAAAGTTACTTCTTTGCATGATCGACACATCTTTGTGAAGAGTTGATTTTTTTAAGTTGATTTCTTCCTTCCTTTCTTTCGAAGATTCCCACATTTTATGTATCAAGACTGATACAATTGTTCTCCTTCATTCTCCAGAAAATACCGAATCTTTCTTCTAGTTCTAGAGGGATACCATTGTTACGTTTTTCTCCGTGGGTTGACCAATGATTGACTACACTGAATAATCAAACTCAGCTTTACTTCACTTTAAATACACAAATATTTCAACTAAAACTTCAACTATTATTTGAAAGTTTATCGCCTCACTAGATCACTTCGCGTACCGCACTGTATCGTCCACTTGACTGTCTCAATATCCTCGTGGCTAGCCTTCCAATATCGTAATCGAATGTCGTCGAAATTTCTCGGAAGTTCTGTCGAAGTCGGTAGCATTTTTCTCGCTGCTTCTCGATCGGCGGGGAATCATCATGCACTCGCGCGCTCTTAGCCACGTCACGCCTGGTTTATGGTTATCAGCGGCGGCTGGCGTTATTTTCTTTCGGGCATGATTTACAACACTATGTTTTGTAAACGAAGAAGGTCAGTTATTTTGTAACAGAATCAATTGAAATTTTCAGCGCCGCCACCTATCACGTTCAAACAATATCATTTTTGAAAATTTACTAAATACTCACAACTCATGAGGAGCTGATTTTATCCATAGGTATTCTACTACTTGAAATGAAAAGTACGCTATATGTATAAAATAAAGATTTTTTTTATTGTTTAGTATTTTTTCGTAGAACTGTCGTGAATTTTTTGTTTATTCTTCTTTTTTCTTTGTGAATGGCTAGTCACGGAACGAAACATTTTAATTTGGGAGGATTTTCATTCTCTTTTATTTTTATTTCAGCTTTTAGTGAAGCAGTTTATAGCCTTCAGCCATTTCCGCAGTACCAAAAAACAATTCAAGAAGCTTCTTTACTTCTCAATAAAGTATGCACTGAAGGAAGAAATGAAGTATGCCTTTCTTTATTTTGTTGGTTATTTTATTGATTTGTTGAACGATATTGATGATCGAAAGGAAGTGTAAGTTATTATCGATTTAGTAAAATTCACTACTGCAACGAACTATCAATTTATTTGCCTATAGTACATTTTGCCTATTCATTTCAGATTTGAGTTCTTCAAACAAAAAATTCCATCAGGTGCAGAAAAAAATGATGCAGTGTTATATTTTGGGAACTGTTTTAAAAAGGTCTTCGCAACTAAGACACCAAGTATGAATAATGCCACTTAGTCTATGGAACCCTTATTTATATTTTTTTCAGAACCTCCCAAAAAGGTAGGAAATAAAAAAAGCAAAGAAAATGAAAAGCCAAAGAAAGGAACGCCTGAAGGAAAACAGGGACGAAACAAAACAGACGATAAAGTTTCAAAAAAACGCTCTGCCCCCCTAAAGAGCTCAACGCCTTTAGCGCATAAAAGAGGAGCTTCAAATAGAAACAACAAATTCAAGAAAAGAGCCGTAACAGAAACTGAAACTGAAATCTCTGATGATAATATCAGTATTCATGATGACAGTGATGATATGGATATATCAGTTTCAGGAATTAGATTGTAAAAAGTATCTGAGTTCTGCAGAGACTATTGAAAATTTGTCGATGAGTATTATCTGTATAGAGTATCGAAATTTTTGTTAGAGTTTATGTATCCTTTTTTAAAAATAGTGTGTTTAGTTTTTAACTTTATTCTTGAAAAAGTTGTGAATAAAGTGAATTGAATATTGGTTTGTTTCAATTCATTACCATTATTGACATTCTCTTCTCAAGAGTTCCTACAGAATCTTGCTCAGTACGGACACTAATGAAACATTTTTTTGTATGTTCATGGCATCAACAAATAGGATCATAGAATGTAAACTTTCACGGCCAGATATAACTGCGTGAAAGCTATTTTATGGGTTTTTTGGTCGCGGTCTGCAGGTTTTTAGGTCTGACGTTTCGTCTACTACTGCGGTAGACATCAAAGGCGAGGAGGTAACGGTCAAAGTGCTCGAGTTGTTCCCAACGCAAAAACTAAAATGCTGGTATTTGACTCTGGTTCTATATTATCAATAGTTGTTGGCCGCGGCTTCGCCCGCGTAGAATTTGGTTTGTCATATTGTTTCGTGACAGACCATTTTAAGCAAGGAATTGAAATATTTTTTAATTGCCTAAAACTTGAGGTTTCCAACTTCAAAACCGACAAAATTCAATGAAATCTTTGAACCATTTTCCCTCTTGGGGGTGGAAATTCCTTATTCCCTTTCTTGGTGCTTATTTGCGCTATACAAAGAACCTACCTGCATATTTCAAGATTCTAGGTTCAGTCGCTTCAATTGTACGTAAATATAAGAGCGGGCAACAGCTAGTAATTTATATTTCTATTTTAAAAATATAGAAACTTGAAAAAATATGCCAACTGCACTAAGTAATGAACGCAGCTTCAAGAATCGAACTATGTTACCTATGAAGAAATTCGCAAAACTAACACGACCGTCAAAAGACGTCTGCCTGCGTTCTCGGCGATGGCGCTTCATTGCTTTGACCGCGCATCATCTCCCGTCGTCTTACAGTAGATTCGACGCGTAATGGCTTACTGCGTTGCGTCAAGTTAATCTTATGGTGATAACTTTTTAACGATTCGTCGAAATACTCAGTGTAAAAGACAAAGTATACCATATTAAATACTTAAAACGACAATTGTATCAATTTTTTTGAAAATTTGACAGATATTCTAAAATGTGCATTGGAAAACATGTATCCAGTCTAATTGTATACAGTGGCTACCACATAAGAGGTAGCTATATGCTAACGGGGACTTTTATTTAGAACTATTCAAGATAAACAATATTATGGTGCAGTATTTGCATGTAACTCCAACGGTATAGGCAGCGCACGCCGAGATAGCTTTCAGAGAGCAACAATTTTTCCGACTTACTTAAAATACTTATCATTATATTAACATCAAAATTACAAAAAATATTTGTAAATTGTAGCCTATATGTTATTCTGATGTATAAGCTGTAATTATGTAAAGTTTCATCTAAATCCGTTTAGGCGTGAAAGAGCCACAAACGTGCCTACATCCAATATTAGTATAAACAGGTGGACGTGGCTTGGTTTCTCACAATTGGATTACCTGACCTTGTTTGTGTACAATTGAGGACAGGTAGCCAGGTTTTAATAATGTTCATTGCCTATTTTGACTCTCTATATACTCTTGGATAATAATTTTGGGTTTTGCAAGTATTACTGTATCTTCGAAGTATAAGTAACCGTCAAACGAGATGTAGCCGAACATTCTTCAAAAAAAGGAGGTGTTCATATTATCTCATTGGAAATTACAGTTTCACTCGATAAAACTGAAAATCACCATTCAGGAGTATAAAGGGAGTACATTGAAATTCAAAAACAGGGATAAGTTCAATGGAAAAGGGGAGGCAATAAACATTAATGAAACCTGGCGTATGCCAGGAACTGGGTTAGTTTACAAAGTGGTTTTTTGGGTTCAGCTCTGCAATGTTTTCCTCAAACCAGGTTAGTACATCCATAAGGTTAGTTTCAACTCATTCAATAAAACTACAATGATCTTAATTCTAGGTTAGTGGGGTCGTAGGTTTCCTGATGGTTCTTGGGAATTGTCCTTGTAAAGTTGTTCATAGAGTTGCGGGCACAATTTCTGGCGAGGGTATGGTTCAGGTACAGGTAGACCAGTGGTGGGATTAGGTGAGTTATTGAACATTAGAGTGGCTGTAGGCTGTCCCACTACTTGATTGCCAGCGGGAACTGGCAATAGCTCAGGCATATCCCCTGACTGGGGGAAACTTAAACCCACAGAAGGCCTTCAGGTGGTGGCCAGCAAGTCGATAACAGCGGTGTTGGTGCTGCTAAGGGTTCTGGTGAACCCTTAGAATTGGGCCATCTATAAAGTTGTGCTTGCCCTGTAGACGTACATTTAGGGTGTTTCAACTAACTCCCAAAATATTATATTGACTTTGGGCAAATTATTTTAAAGAAATCAAATATCTGGAAATTTCTAATGATTATGTCGTATAAATCCATCATAATTTAAAACCATCAATATCTAATGCAGAATAACGGGCTAAAATCACAGAATGCCAATTTCAAGAAATAGGGATTCTTGAAGAAAAAGTACGAATTCTATAGATACATCACTCCTGATTATTTCAAAATGTCTTATGATGGAAGGGACTTCTTAACTTGCGAATGGCTGTCGTGTTGGTGATTGCTGAATATGTCATTCTGATGGTGAACAGGTGAACTAGATTCATTGGGTCATCGAGTGTTCATGTCACGAACGTCGTGGTTTTTCTACCTCATCTCTAGCAGAATGTCAACATGTTTTTATGGATTGAACGATTATTCAATTCATGGCAATTAAAATATTTCGCACTTACTCATATTACCAACCTTTCATTCAGAATTACACTGTTCTTATGGTGACGTGTTACTCTTATTGGAATTGTCTTGTTTCATTAGTGTTACACATATTAGATCGATCAAGAGGCCCAATAATGACTAAATGATTATTTTAGTCACTTATTCCACTAAATACAATTTGAAGTTCTACTTATAACTATCAAATTCTACTTATAACAGTAACACTAGCAGTACCTACTGCGGCCAAACATCATCAGTGGTATATGCATTAACTGCTAAGACTTTGAGATATAACCTTCATCGCTGTTGACGCATATATCACTGATGATGTACATCGCAGTAGCAGACGAAACGTTTGGTACTTCAGGTTCCATACTATCACAGCTCACCAGCCCGGATTTTATTCTCTTCAATATATATATTCGGATACAATTATTTCACTTCTGCTTTCTTAGTTCCTTGTTATCTATTCAGTATCCAACAATAAAATTGTTTATTGTTGGATACTGCAGCGATAACAAGTAGTTTCTTGGAAATTCCGCTCAATCAATAGCCCCTACTACTATCGCAATAACATTTCCACCTCGTTTCCTATAGGTCTAATTCCAATAACAAATATTTTTTGAGGAGTTTCACTGAAGCTGTCATGATTCCGCCTGCTTCGTTTCCGACTTATTAGTTGAAGACTTTCATTTGGCGTGGTATTTCTTGGGCCCAGAGGAAGGTATCTGATTTCAAGGCATACATGATGGCACATCGTACAGATTCGCAGAAGTTTTCTCATTCTGATTTATAAATGCTTTTGATTTTTCTTGTCTTTTCATCCACTATTATTTTCCGCTGTCGCCCCAAACTTTCGACGATAAATGGACTAGAATGTTTCATCATTGATGGCTGAGTTGGATGTTGATTTCAATTTAAAATTTTTCCTCTCAATTTTCAGGAGTTTCAAAATTTCTGTTTTAAGTTCTTGAACGCCTTGCTGTTCAAGTTTCTCTTCAATGATAAGTAGCAACTGCAACCGTTAAAAAAAAATAAGTTTTTTGTCTTCGTTCTGCTTGTTCCAACCATTTTAGTTCTGTCGCTTCCCTGTCGTCTATTTATATTTTTTTATAAGATCCAATATTTGAAGATCATTTGTCGACTACTACAAATCAAAATGGTGTAACGGTTTATGAATGTCAGTTTATTTTTTTATCTTTCCGCGTTACGGTCCACGTTCAGACCTCGCCAACGTTTTATAATCTATATTTCTTTTATGTCTGTAAATCTGTGCTTGCCAATCTATTTGAAATATACATTATTATAATTCAAATAAATCAAAATATTTTCAAAGTGTAGCGTCACTACTTTTACTACAAGAGTGGCAAACTACCTGAATCCGGAACTGACTAAATCGACAGAAACAAGCTACGTGCCTCAGATTCTAGAATATTAATCAGTACTAAGATGCCTAGAAACCCGCTAGTACTATATTCCTGATAGATCTCGAATCTCAATAATTCAAAAAGTTTCAGAAACATGAATCTTTCACAGTAGAGTAGACCGTAAACGTGAGTCTAGGCACGTCCATTCAATTCGTCGACACCAACAGATGATTAAATATGACACATTTTCCGAGCCAATAGAAAATTGGTAGGGTAAAATAGGAGACAGGGGTCACCTTGGAGCGGATATCTTGAAATATTTCAGTATTTTGATTTTGAGTTTGTTTTTGGGAGGAAATTAAAAATTATTCGGTGGTTCTTTATTGTTCATTAGGTAAGTATTATTAATACACAATAATTTATAAATTTTCTAGATAGTGAAAAACTACCTGCCGGTCTTTCTGTTCTTTAGAATGTTTCATATTATTGTTAAACTAGATTGTTTATTACATTTATGAAATTTTAGGCCAAAATGACAGAAAGAGCTGGATCAAAATTTATAGAACGGGGTGCCCATAAAGGCAAGGGTATCGCCGTTTTTACAAGTGGTGGTGACTCCCAGGTAAGATTTCAATTCATTTCTGAAAGGAAAAGTTTTTCTGATCCTTATCCTACATTTTAGGGTATGAACGCAGCTGTCAGAGCTGTGGTTCGTATGGGAATATATCTTGGCTGCAAGGTATTCTTTATTCGTGAAGGATATCAGGGTATGGAGTTGAAGGAAACAAAGACAGAAACCTAATTACTAATGTTTTTTATGAATAGGTATGGTTGATGGGGGTGAAAACATAATAGAAGCAAATTGGTCATCTGTTAGCTGTATCATTCACAAAGGTGGTACTATTATTGGATCAGCCCGTTGTGCTGATTTCAGGTAAACTTATCTATTTTCATTATCTTCAGTTGCCAAGACGGACAATTTTTTTCATTCATTGCGTAGAAATATTACTCAATACCAAATTCTAAGCTACTTCAGTAATTTCAGATTTTTGCTTTGCTATCTGTTTATCGGTGATATTGTTAGTCAAGGGATAAACCACAATATTGAAAAATGTGTGACCATGTTTGAGCTCGTTCTTATTGTATTACTTCTATTCAACTGTCTATAGAGGATCTAAAATATCTTAACGTTCTCTAAAATTCAAAATTTCCTATAATTCTTCCAAAAAATTACTGTCATATATGTTAATCTTCTAAATGAACAAATATGTTGATGATGTTTCTTAAAATACTAAGAGTTTTTATTCAATACTTAGAGAATAGGTACTTAAAATCAGAGAAGCAATTTTTTTGTCGAAAAGACTGTCTACAGTTTCTTATCTACCTTCTTTGGGTATTTTCACCTCTACAAAAAATTACTTTTGTTCAGTACTTTCTACAGGTTAATTATTACCAGCAAGGCTCATTTTTTGTTCATTTCATTTGTACATTTATAGACCATTCAAATTTAGACTCCAAAGGGCAAAGAACAATTAAATTGATGTGAATCCTCATAACTTACTACCTTGGGTTTTTATTGTGTATTATTATATACATTTTATTATCTGTATTGTCTTCTAACATACTATTTTTTTACACCATGTGACAAATTGATCATTCTTATTTATTCTCTTTTTAATTATTTTTATAATTCTCTTTTTTATTATTTTATTTATTCTCTTTTTAATTAAATAATATTTTGCAGTTTTCTTTGAAACTTCACTAGTTCAGTGATAAGTCTGTTGTAATCTGATTTGTTTTTGCTTCGGTGGGTTTATAAATGACTGCACTAAAATTAGTATGAGAATATTATATGTGAACAACTCATTTCAATGTAAATTTATTAGAGACAGATTTGGTTTTTTGCCAATATAACTTTATAATATGAATACGGTGTCTACCTCATGAAAAATTACTATAAGCAATGGTTTTGAATTGAAAGTCAACTATCCTGCAATGGCTCGTGAATTATTTTCTCTAATAATTATTTAATAAATTGATTGATGTAGCCGTTCCTGGTAGAGGATGAAGTTATTCTGAATGACATGTTGTTCCTCCTGTCATTCAGATAACTTTTATTTTCTTTCATTATTTGTTTCAATTATCTTATTTATATGTACATGTATTTGATTATTGGTTGTATTTTAACAATTTGAAAATAATTTTTGTACTGAATAAGTTTTTTTGCAGTTGAGGTTCGCAGTAAAAGTAATTATATAGAGAAACACTTCCAACTTTCCACAATTTTTTCAATGGATTATTGTATATCAATTTATAAATTTTCAAAACTGTTGCTTTTGAAAAGTATCATGTTGAGGAGTCCTTTTTTTTGTTGTGTCACAGGAGCAAGTCTTGATAGTATTTTTATTCATATATTTTTGAACTCTAGGTGATTAGGAATAACGATTGAAGAATGGAGGAGAATCGATTCTATTCACCAATTTATTTTTCAGAGAAAAGGAAGGTCGCCTCAAGGCTGCTAAAAATCTGGTGCAGAAAGGAATAACAAATCTGGTTGTTATTGGAGGTGACGGTAGTCTTACAGGAGCAGATTTATTTCGACAGGAATGGGGTAGTCTGCTTGACGAACTCCTTGGAAGAAATGAAATAACTGCTGAACAGCGAGAAAAATACAAGGTCTTGCAAATTGCCGGGCTTGTTGGATCTATTGATAATGATTTTTGCGGTACAGATATGACCATTGGTACAGACAGCGCTTTACACAGGTAATTTTGAATATGATTCAGTAGGGAGCATGAACTGTCTATTAAGAATTCTATCAAATACTTCAATCAATCAATCATTTACTTAATCCTGTGGAACTTAGAAAGTTATAGGACAAGTCAATTTGGAAACATTACAACAAATAAAACTCTAAACATGGAGAGTATAATAAGCATATAAATAAAATCAAACTTATTATGACAGTATGTAAGTCAAATAGTATGAAATTAAAATTAAATCAATTCAAGGAATTCTTGAATTGAGTAAGGACATAGATCTATCAAAACTTTTTTTAGTTGTCTTTTAAATGTATGAGTTGGCAAACTTATTAGATTGTATGTTGGTCATTGAATGATGTGAATGATTTTTGTATATAACTGTAAGGGGTATATTAGATATCACAGCGTTCATGAATCAACTGTAATGGGAAGAAAATGTTATTCTATTATTACTTATTACTTATCATCATAAAAATAATCTGTTTTGTAACTAATATAAAGGCTTTCATCATTATTATCATTTTTTCAACATAATTAGTACACTAATTGATGTGTACTAGGTTTCTTACTGAAATATGAAACACCCATAGTTTATTAGTGGTGAAATCAACTTTTTGTATAGCATTCAAGAATTGAAACCGTAGAAGCTTTCCAATAAAACAACAAGGAATCGGTATATGTTTAGGAGGAATTATTTTTGGGAAACTCAGGTTTTGGCTTTCTACTTCTCCATTTTTATTAAAAAAATATGAGAATCTTCCGAAGAAAGGGAGAAAGCAACTGATTTCGAAATAAACTTACAAAGAAGTAACTTTCAAACACAGATTAGAAAAAAATACCTCTCAAAACAATTTCTTACACGAAAGAAATAATATTTATGAAACAACATGTTTTTCTATTCAGTATGTAGTCCAAACATTCATTAAGGAATTCAATCAGATATCATTCACAGGATTGCTACACAATATAGTATATGAAAGAGGTGAAATTACACTTACATGTATATAATGCAAACTCATACGAAAGTAACATGTCATCAGTTGGTATCAAAATCTACGAAATTGCTAGCAACTTTTATTTGCATAGCTTCCTCTTTTAGATTAATGAATATAAGCTATCATCTGAAGAAGAACTATCTCTGATTGAATTCAAACTCTAATTGTTTTGCGTTTTTTTTTTGCTATGTCATAGAACGTGTTTTATCATGCTTATATGTATTCTTTCAACATCGGGACAGATAATTATTTTCCAAATGATTGGTTCAAGACAAGTTTATTCAAAAAATACTTTGTGATTAATAATTTTTAAAATAGTTGAATATGTTATGGGTTCAATTAGTTCTTGGAATAAAATAAAAATTATTGTACTTGAGAATTTTTAGTATATATCAACTACACTTGGCCAGCGATTTGGTTTTTATCTCTTCAATTGTCGCAAAACGCCGACCTTTCATGGGTCTCTTCAATCTTGGGAAAAAGTCGCAGGGGGGCAAATCTGGTAGATACGGTGGCTGAGGCATGATTACGATGTTGTTTTTGGCCAAAAAATTGCAAACAAGCAATGACGTGATGAAATCCATGAATTGCTTTCCCACAATACCGGATGGTTTATTCGTATTGCTTCTCGCAAGCAACGCATAACTTCAAAATGATACTCCTTATTGACCGTACAACCATGTGGCAAGATATTCTGGTGCACTACGCCACAGTAATAGAAGAAAATAGTCTTGGTTTTCCTGGGCTCTTCCATTGGGACGATTGTACTTTGGCTTCGATGTCATAATTATATACCCACGATAGATGTCATTCAAAAATTCATGGGCGATGCCCATGTAACGGTTTTTTTGGTCAAAATTTAGCAATTTTGGAACCAACATCGCTGCCACATGCTTTAAGCCCAAAATTGCTGAAAAAATTGCATGGCATGAGCCATGGCATGAGCCATGCAATTTTTTCTCAGCAGCTTCTCTCAGCAATATTATTCAGTTTATCTTTATGTCCCTCTTCAACAAAATAAAGATATGGAGTTAAACAATTGCAATTTCGAGTTGAAAAGTCGTAATTTCGCGTTAAAAACTCTAAATTTCGACTTTATACTCGAAGATTAAAGTCGAAATTTCGAGATTTAAGTCGTAAGTTCGAGATTCAAGTCGTAATTTCGAGATTTAAGTCGTAATTTCGAGATTTAAGTCGTAATTTCGAGATTTAAGTCGTAATTTCGAAATTTAAGTCGTAATTACGAGATTTAAGTCGTAATTTCGAGATTTAAGTCGTAATTTCGAGATTTAAGTCGTAATTTCGAAATTGAAGTCCAAGTTTCTAGATTAAAATCGAAATTTCGGGATTCCGTAATTTTGAGTTGAAAAGTTGTAATATCTAATTAATAAAAAGTCGTAATTTCGAGTTAAAAAGTAGTAATTTCGAGTGTTAAGTCGAAATATCGAGATCAAAGTCGAAATTTCGCGATCAGAGTCGAAATTGCGCAATTCAAAGTCGTAATTTCCAAGAAAAAAATAATTAAAATATGTGGCCTTTCTGCTTTTCAGTACCTCCAAGTATGCTCCTGTATGAAAGTAAAATTGAAAATCTCGCTTATGAAAAAGTATATCACATAATAATAATTATAATGTGTTTTTATTTTTTCGAAAAAGTGAATGTTAAAATACAAATCAATAATAGCGGAAGGCGATATTCAACAGGGTTGCTATTCCACATAATATAACGATTCTCCATAACAATATTCTTCACTTTCTAAACATTTTCATCGTTTGTTGATATTCTGAGGCGTCCAGGGCGAGTGTCGTCATTCACATTTTCTCGACCTTCTGTGAAAAATGTGTACCACTTGTTAACATTATTTTGATCAGAGTACAATCACCATATGCCACTACAAACATTTCTAGTGAATTTGATGCAAATTCTCTTCGATAGTAAAAAATCGCTGAACATGCAAAACACTTCAAACTTTTATGCCTCTCATCAACAAAATAAAGATGCTGAACAGCTGACGTTGTGAACATACATTCGAGACGAGTGTACTAACATAAAAAAATCGCTAATGGAATGCATATTCACCTTATTTTTCGAACAGTACGTATATTATCTTTTTGTTATTTGAGTTTCTCGAACCAGGCGGTAAAATCTTCTTCAGTATTATCATTTTCTGTGAAATAATTTAATTTGAAAAGAAGTCTTGGTATCATATCATCTCCAATCCGTTTTTTTTTCAACTTTCACAGAATTATTGAAGCAGTAGATGCCATTGTGAGTACAGCTTACTCTCATCAACGTACATTCATCATGGAAGTTATGGGCAGACATTGCGGGTAAGATTTTTATTTTTCTGTTCATTATTTTTGAAGAACATGCGACTTTGTTGTCTACTGTGAAACTACCCAAAATGTTATAGGTATTTAGCATTGGTCGCCGCTCTAACTTCTGAAGCGGATTATGTTTTTATTCCGGAATCTCCGCCGCCAGATGACTGGCAAAATAGGCTATGTGCAAAGTTGATACAGGTATATCATTGTGAATCGCTTTGAAAATATGTATAGGTGTTGTGGTTTGACTCTTGTACAAAATCTAACCATTGTGTTTTCCGTAGATAGTCTAACTGTATTTTTCTTCACTACTAATATTTCTTAGTAATCATATAAAATAAAAGCAAAAAATTCTGTGAAATGATAGGTATTTATTATGGGGAACATTTCAACGTGATCGACGAAATAATTTCAGATGATACAATAATTACACTCGATTGTACAAAAAAAAAATTTTAAAGTACATTTATATGTATTTGAACATACACATATAATAACATTGAGAAAAATATAATCAGAATTTGTATCATAGCAACTGAATTCCTTAAACAGTGTGTAAAAGCCAAATGGAATAAATTCATTATTTCGGTTACGGTACATATTTTAAGAAAATCCCGAAACAAGTCATATTTAAATTATAATTTGACATACTTCAACGGAAAAATGCTTCCCCTACTTTCAACCCCCGTCGAATGATAGGACAACCCCCAATTTTTAAAATGGGAAGTATAGGCTTGTGATATATCGTATGAAAGGTCTCTCCATTCTCTATTCAAAAATGTTATCGCTTTCAAGTTTATTGCAACAATTAAGATAAAATTAATTAAAATCATGTGTTTACCGAAATTCGATAAAATACTCCTAAAACTTATTGCAATGTACTCAAAACTTATTTCATGTGTAGGTATTGATAAGCAGAAAGTAAGCAAAAACCATAGCAATGTTCTTTTCAGGTGGTATCCTTTAAAAAACTTTAAATAATTTCCATGGCAACGTTGGTTAAAAACGCCTTGTTAACTTGTTTTGTATGTCAGTATTTTAAAGTTTAAAGTTCGTTAACTTCAAGTCTGACAAATGGTTAGATTAACGGAAATTCATAACAGTTTTACAAATGATTGGTTATGGAGATAAAACCCAAACACAACAGGTAGTAGCTCACCTATTTCATGAGAAATTTCCTAATTTACCGCCCATATCTCAAGGAACAATAAGCAAAATAGGGAAGCAGTTTCGTGAGCTTGGCCATGTGGGGCAGATAAAAAAAAGCAGCTGCCAATCTGTTTGAAAAATCTGTTTTTCCGTTAACCAGCTGTCGCACCTCTACGAACGATAACCTTCAGAAGTCGAAACCTGTGCGAGCTAAGGACTAACGAGGTCTCACCTTATTCCATTTGGCTTTTTACACACTGTATAAAATTGATTGATTAAAATATGGGTATTGCTTTTTTCCAAACCTCAATAGTTAGCCCTCCTTCCTAATTAATGTTGATCACGTGAACTGATGGAAAGGATAATTCAACATTTAAAAAGAGAAATGATGTCTAAAATCCTTTACGTATATAGAGTAAATTGTTGATTTCTTTTGATCTAATTCAAACATCCACTTTATTGTAACAATTTTTCTATTTTTGATTTATTGAATTTTGAAGTTAATCCGAATCATCATTTATACAATATTTATTTAATGTATCAATTTACATCACATCGTGAAGGATGTTATACTTCGTATTCTAAAATATGTTACAACTAAGTAGAGCTCAATATTCATAAATGAACCTCAACTGTCAATAGAAACGTATAACTCATTATATATTTTTGAAGCAGAATACCGGAAATGCCATCTTATAAGGCTGGTTAACGGAAAAAACTTCTTTTTTTTTAATATATTGACAAAATTCAGCTAATTTCCAATATTCAATCAATTTGATACTATTGCAGACACTTACTTCTGCCATAGAATTAATCTAACAGAAACACTTGGCCAACATACTAAAACTGTAACACTTTTCAACAGGTTTCAAACTAAGTTACAACTCTGATTCTAGTGTGTGACTTTGTATAAATTATGAGGATACAATTCAGAATTTCCAATCAGTCAATTGTATGTAAATGTTTTTTTTTTGGGTTATCGGAATGAAAAAACATTCAAGGTTGTTATATCAATCTCGTGTGTTTTCCTAAGTTATTCATGAGCAAATTTTTTATGTGACACTACTCATATAACCCTAATGCCAAAATCAATTTTTCGATTTGCGATTTATATAGTAAATTCTGTTATTGACAATTTTGTTTAGCAAAGGTGAATATAATCAAATTGATATCAATGATACCAACTTTATGTAAACAAATATTTCAAGTGATCTCATTTGAACCAAATGTTTCTTAATTAAATACGATTATCCCTATCATACTGTATCGATTGTGTTGAATCATCGGTTCTTCATGTGTAACGTCGTTAAGGGACAAAAGTTAATGTTCATCTCACTGACACTCTATTCAGCTTTTTCGTAAAAGAATTTAAGACGGAAAAAGCTTGCTCGTCCTCTCGAACTAGATGGATACAAATACTAGATTTATTCAATCAATCAAATTGCAAGATCAAAGTCTAAATTTCGAGTTGAAAAAGTCGCGATTTCGAGTCGAAATTTGGAGATTAATGTCCAAATTTCTAGGTTAAAGTCAAAATTTCGAAATTTAAGTCGTAATTTTACAAGATTAAAGTCGTATATCGAGCTAATCAGTCGCAATTTCGAGTTGAAAAGTCGTAATTTCGAGTTAAAAAGTAGTAATTTCGAGTGTTAAGTCGAAATATCGAGATCAAAGTCGAAATTTCGCGATCAGAGTCGAAATTGCGCAATTCAAAGTCGTAATTTCCAAGAAAAAAATAATTAAAATATGTGGCCTTTCTGCTTTTCAGTACCTCCAAGTATGCTCCTGTATGAAAGTAAAATTGAAAATCTCGCTTATGAAAAAGTATATCACATAATAATAATTATAATGTGTTTTTATTTTTTCGAAAAAGTGAATGTTAAAATACAAATCAATAATAGCGGAAGGCGATATTCAACAGGGTTGCTATTCCACATAATATAACGATTCTCCATAACAATATTCTTCACTTTCTAAACATTTTCATCGTTTGTTGATATTCTGAGGCGTCCAGGGCGAGTGTCGTCATTCACATTTTCTCGACCTTCTGTGAATAGACAACAGAGCAAACTGGTGGAATAAAATATCACATTGTTTCATCATTCTAGTTACTTAGCTATAATAGCTGCACTTACTGGAGAAGCTGATTTTGTTTTTATACCGGAATGGCCAGCAGACGCAGATTGGCCCCATATGCTATGCAAGAAGATTTTGCAGGTACCTGCTCCTAAAAGGGTGGAGTATAGTATCACTGGGAACTACTCATGCTTTCATTTCAGTGACATCATCAATTAGGAAAACATGGAATTTTGCTAACCATCGCACATTCGAAATAAAGTCTTGGATAACATTGAGTTTGGTTGTTCAAAGATATAAATTTATTCTCATTCTTAATTTTTTTATATGCGCCAGAGACATATTGAAACAACACAACGTATTTGAAACAACACATAAAAATGATCCAAGTCTTATTTCAAGAATTGTTTGACTCAAGATATCCTAAATAATGGAATGTACCATGGTAAAATTGGTTGGTTGTAACAGAATATTTTTTATTCACTTGGTTGGTTATCTAACATATTAATTGCTGCTTGGGGGTATCACATCTTATTTACCTTCATCAAATATACATTCACAAAGCAAGTGAGATATAAAAAATCATAAATAAGTGGCTAGACACTTGTTTCAACTCTTGATAATCCATCTACATGTGCTTCTCATGTATCTGAGGTTATTATGTCAGGTATGTGTGCATGTAGATATTTCTTTTTAATGAAGCGACCTGATGAGAAACAATGATTTAACAAAAGTTGAGAGCAAGCCGTTGCCTCTAATATATAATCGTGGCTATAGGCAGTGGAGAAAAATTTTCAGCGCCGAAAGTTATACCTACCAAGTTTTTTATTACTCGCAACACATAGACGAAAGTAAAGTACCTCACAACGCTGTCACTAAATGAATCTAGATCTTTCGGGTCAACGGCTTGAGATGTTAGTTAAAATTTCACCTCTAACACATATGGATGGTTCAAGAGTAGCAATAACGATAAGAAAGCTAATTCCCTTGCTAAACAATTCACATTTTACCAAAATGTTCTGATGAAGTACTTGCCACTCCTGCCAGCACCTACACCATGGTGTAGAGTAGGGCATATTGAATAAACCTGCATATCTCGTTCCATATGCATGAATATCACAATGTTTGTCAAATTCATTAACGTTTTCAATAACACGATAGGTTGCTTTTTATATTTCAGGATTAGAGAACAAAAACAAATATTAATCATCAAAAATCACTTTATTGTTTTTCAAAATGTTCCCTATGAAGATCTATACACTTTTGCATGCGTTTGAACCAATTGTCGAAGCACTTTTGCCACTCTGGTTGAGGTATCTCCAAAACATGCATTCTGAAGGCAGCAACTGCTTTTTCAGGTGGCGAAAAACGTTGACCTCTCAGTTTACGTGCAGGAATAAAAAGAAGTCATTCAGTGCCAAGTCAGGACTATACGGCGGATGACTCATCAAATCGATATTTTGGGTGCCCAAAAATGCAATTGTTTGAGCAGATGTGTGAGAGCTCGCATTGTCGTGGTGAAGAGTGATCCGTCTTCGGCGGTTGGTTTTCCTGATTTCTTGGAAGACAACTGGCAAACAAATGGTTGCGACATGTCCAGTTTTTTGGAAAAAACGGGCGACCATTTGCTTGGAAGTGCTTCGTGCGCGAACAGCTTTTGTTGGATTTGGCTCATCTTGAAACAACCATACAGTCGATTGCTGTTTACTTTCGGGCTCATATGCGTAAATCCACGATTCATTATCTATCACGATGTCATAGACGTGTTTCGAAGCACCGCGATCGTATTTTTTGAGCATTTCCTTCGAACAATAGACATTAGTATTTTTTTGAGCGATTGACAAATTATGTGGGATCCAACGCGAACAATTTTTTTTGACAGTCAAATGTTTATGCAATGTATGCTTGTCCCACTAATGCCTAAGGTTGTCTCAATCTCACGATAGGTCACATGACTATGTTGCAATATCAGTTCGCTCACAGCATCAATGGTTTTCGGAACAACTACTGATTTTGGACGACCTTCACGAAATTCGTCTTGGAGTGAACTACGACCACGATTGATGAAGCTTTTTCGTCAAAAATTGAATTAAGTTCATCCATGCACTGTTGCTAAGTTAATCCTCGTCGAAAGTTGTAAAAAATAATCGCACGAAAATGTTCACGATTTAATTCCATTTTTGGGCCGAGATGAATCTTTTAAGTTACTGTAATTTCTATCAAAACCGACAATGTTGTCAAACAATTTCTTTGGTGGTGCGACAATAACCGTTTAATTCTCAATTCGGAAAAAACTAAAATTATGCAATTTTCCACAAATCCTAGGTCACTGTCCAATAATATATCAATCAAAATAGATAATTTTATGGTCACTACCAGCCCGACCAATACCTTTCTCGGCACAATTATTGATGAAAAATACTTTATAGATATTTGATGTTTTAAGTGGCATGATACCAAGTCGAATAAAAAAAGGATGTGCTCCTTGTAATCTGCTTTGGCTATTATTCTTATGGTCTTTTTCTGGCACCTAAAACACTAATGGAGTTACTTGAATGATTTGAAACCAGAATACCGTATGGCATAACTGAGTGAAATAATCCATAGTAGGCTCTTTTGAGCATCATCAAGCTGACCACATCATTTAGTCGTCTCAGAACAAAAAAAACAGTAAAACGTTTTGTAGCCACAGCTTTGTTATGACCAAACCAGCCGAATCTATTATCAATAACGAATCCTAAAAAATATATATTTTTAGTTGGGTTAATATTGGGATTTATAAAATAAAATTATATTTTGAGTTTTACTTTCATTCACTTATTAGAAGCAAACCATTTATGTGCTAATGTTTCGCTATCCTGCGTCATTTATTGTGAGCTGGAAAAGTCTTTGCTACAACATATTAAAGTCGAATCATCTGCAAACAAGGTATATCTTGCTGGTTTTATAAAATTACATAGATCATTGATATAGATCAAGAACAATAGTGGACCTAAAACGGAGCCCTGAGGAACGCCATTTCCGTTATATGTTAACGATATAATGCTAACAAAGTATGTGTTTAAAACCATGAGGTGCATAAAGTTTTTTACAGAGGAGAATGTCATATATTGATTATTAGAATAAAAGCAATTTTTTTTAATTGGTTCCGACACACCACTCTCAAAATGGAACCGGTAGACAACAGAGTATAAGTATATGATTCCCTAATTTCCGTTTTACAATTGTCCTAAATTGCAGTTATTTAGCCTTAGTAGCGGCGTTGACTAGCGAAGCAGATTATGTGTTCATTCCAGAAGATCCTGCTGATGTAAATTGGCCTGAGGTTCTTTGCGATAAGCTAGTGCAGGTATTTTTTGTAGATGAAAAATGCAAAACAGCATAGTTTATGATGTATAGTTGCAAACACATCGGCTTTTTATATTCAAGTTTAGTGATATATCTGAATTTCTGAATCGTCAAAAAAGTTTTAATTTCAGTATGTAGGTAATATGGTTTTGATGACAATATAGAGTCATTCCACTACTTGTTTTAGAAGTAATAAAATGGAAAAACTTTCATAACTTGATATGACTATGTTGAAATAATATCTGGGATGTCCCAAAGTCATGGATCATACAAAAAAAGGTGATGTAAGAGTTTATTACCGACGCAAAAACCCAAATATCCCCGTTTGATTCTGCACACTTTGAGAAAAAAACTTTTTGGTGGTGTCGAATTTTTTATGAGAAACAGAGAGGCCTTCAGAGTAGCACACTGTAATTGTAATTACTGTGTAACTTCTGCTCTACAATCTAGAACTTATTTGTTGTGTTACTACTGATTTTCATGATATTGTCATAATGAAGTTTCTATCAAAAATTTAATTAGGACGTGTAAATTAATTGACTCAAAATGTAACGCTTTCAACAATTGCTACTTATATTCTTTGCCCAGTTTTATTTTTATTTAGTTTCACACAATTAATTTTGTTTGCGAACGAAACCAAAAAGATGTCAACATTCAGTTTGGCTTTTTTAATGGGCGCAGAGGGTCAGGTACACAATTTGTCAAAACTATTGATTATTGAAATATTTCAGAAAAGAATAAAATAAATTGATTTGACAGCCTAATCTTTCAACGGGGACTTCCTAACTTTGACAACTGATAACAACCAACTAGTTGAAGTTACTTGAAAAAATGGTATATTTGGCATGTTTTGTTGGTAATAACCTCTCCTTTCTACTTCTTTATACTCATTCAAGACAAACTGTAATATAAAAAAAAATATGGTCCACTTTTCACTCACTTTTTTATTCAGTGTTGAATATCTCTCGTCATCATATTATGAATATATAAAAAACTACCAGGTAGATGTGTTGAGTATATCTAATCAGGATGTCTGGGATAACCTATCATTCAAAAGTTTTTTGCTAATGAACTATTTTTCTTCATCGAAGCATGTACTAACATTAAGTATTTGATTTTTCTCAGTTTTGCATGTTGTATTCATACATATTCAGATGTACTGCTAATCTAAATGTATAAATTTCTTTCTGCCAACATTTTTCAAACATATTTTTTTGTTATAACATATTTGGGTTATGATATATTATACTTGATATATTTAACATAATCTGGTATGCTAAGAGTGAATTAAGAATTAACACTCTAACTTTTTCTTATTAAAAAAAACTCGTCACATAGTAACTGTTCTAAGGAAAAACTTCGGTTCTACCTTCTACCTGCATTTGATAGACGACTTTTATAATCGCTGTATGTTCCTGGAAACGAAGCCCTATAATTATTTTCATTGCACATAATCTTAGTATGTCTTTCATATTTCAGATTGTTGGCATAAAGAAATGCAATCAAGCTTTTTTACATATGCATTTGCTTTTATGTATTTTTAATTTTTTTTTATTGGAGTACCCAATAAAAAAAAGTTTAAACGAAATTTTCCCTTTACTTGCAAATATGAAGGAGAAGAAAGTGGAAAATAAAAATGTTGTGGAAAGAACAAATATAAATATAGATTTTTTTTTGAATACCTTAAAATGGTTTTGAATTATTTTTATACTTTTGCTAATTAATTTAGGAATTTTAATGAAAAGGTAAATAGTCATCTATTCACCAGTAACTTTTTGATATTTTTTCCAACAAAGTGTAATTTTGTTTTCTGTATTATCGCTAAAATTACTTTCATTTCCCATATTTTTCAAATCAGTTCCAGAAGCAAATTATGAAAGCAAAAAATCTACTTTCACCCCTCCAAGGAAATATTTTTATCAGATATGTATTACATTCAGTTATTCTCAACATTTTCTTTTTTTTTAATTCAGGAACGAAGCGTCGGACAACGTTTGAACATCATCATCGTTTCCGAGGGTGCGATTGACCGAAATGGAAAACCGATAACTGCAGAACTCATAAAAAAAGTTGTTGTCGAGAACTTGAATCAAGACACCAGAATCACTGTTCTCGGTCATGTTCAACGTGGTGGAAATCCCTCTGCTTTTGATAGAGTCTTGGTGAGTGGTTGTAATTCAGCATCTGTTAATGGTTTTTAGGCAGTTTCTCTGGAGCAGAATTTAATTTTTTTTAGGGATGTAGGATGGGTGCTGAAGCTGTTATGGCCTTGATGGAAGCAAATGAACATACTAAGCCTTGTGTCATATCTTTGGAAGGTAATCAAGCTGTTCGACTGCCACTCATGGAATGTGTTCAGCAAACTAAGGCTGTGGCTCAGGTACGGCGGGTTTTTCAATAGTTTTTCCCTATATATGCTACTTTGATTTATGGCGTAGAAATAGATTTATTATCGTGTCGTGTCGGGACTGGTGATAGGTGAATTATTAATTAGACGGGCACAGCGTTTACAAATAATAAAATTCATTAACACTGCCAACAAATGAACAAACAGAAAATAACAGTGTAACCTCGTGGCGAGGAGAATCAGAATAAAGAGTAGTTCCCGGCCGAAATCCCTGAACCGAATGAATCGGCTAAGAAATGTGTTCGAAGTCACTTTCTCCCTGAAAATGGTCGAGTCATAAAAATAGTCAAAAAGGATCAACCACTTGGGCCCTTGTCTTACCCATAAAAGTATTAACAATGAGTACCTACTCGAAACATCCCAAATGGTTTAATTCTAAATATCCATCTGTTTTTTCGGCAAAAAACTTTCTTTTCGAGAGGAAAATAAAAGAATTAACATAAAAAACCTAAGCAGATGGATATTTTGTACGACTGCTCGATAATAGAGTTATGAAAAGTTAATTTCCCAACGAGAATTTATAATACAAAAATAAAAATCAATAACTAAATAAAATGTTTCTAAAGTAAGTAGTTGTAGGAAAAACTCTATACAATCTTCTATTTCATGGCTACCAACCCCAACAAACATTTATGAAATTGAAGAAAGATGAACCAGCTGACGATGGTCAAACGTTAATTACAGAAACATTGAATGGATGAATTCTTTGAAAAATTATATAATTCAAATTCAAGATTTTTCACAATAATATTATAAAGCATTGGTCAATCAATTATTTCCAATGTAGATATTAATATAGAAAGTATAGATTTTGAGGAACTAACGTGTGGCAACTCATTATTCCTAAAGGAAACCAATGCTAAAGAGGTATCTGAAGTCATTGTCGCTCTCAATAAAAACTCAGCAGCAGGGCACGACAACATATCCGTTAAAGGCAAAATATTAATTGAAAAAAATGTCATTTCCATACTTGTTAATTTGATAAACGATATTATCAAAGCGGGGGTATTTCCTGAGATACTGAAAACTGGAAAAGTAATACCATTTTTTAAGGGTGGGGATAACAAAAACTTAGAAAAATATAGACCTATGACAATTGTGTGCTCATTCTCTAAAATTATTGAAACTATAATAAAGACAAGAATAATGGACTTTGTTGATCGTTATGTGGGATTTGATGAGTATCAGTATGGTTTTATCAAGGGTAGCAGCACTAGATTTCATTCATAATATTACATCGGAATTGGATAAAAAAAGAATGGTTATCGCAGTGTTCATTGATTTAAGAAAGGCATTTGACGTTGTTGACCATACTGTTCTTCTGAACAAACTACGTTGCATGTGTATAAGGGGCAAAACTTATTCTCTCACTGAGACATTTTTTAAGAAAAGATCCCAGTTTGTCGCTGTTGATAAAAAATAATTGTGGCGTACCACAGGGATCCGTTTTGAGACCCATGTTGTATGCACTGATGGTTCTGTCACTGAGGCAGGCGGGGCTTAAGGGAAGGTATTTCATGTTCGCCGATGTCACGGTCCTTTTGTACAGTGGATATGATTTACATTTACTGGAGAAGATAGTTAATGAAGATCTCTCTAAAAACTCAAATTGGCTTGTGAACTCTGCAAAAACCGTTTACATGCTATTTAAACAAAAAAAAAAAAATAGAATTTGTGGAAATATTGAATTAAGAATAAATAACTCTTACCCGTAATGAATGTTGCAAAAACCAAGTATTTGGGACTCATAATCGATGATAATTCAAACTAGTCAGGACACATAGAACATATTATTGATAAAATTGTACCAATGTTAGGAGCTCTTTATAGGTGTTTCAGTTACTTGACTTTATGTAATACACACTTGGTTTACAATGCATATGTATTGGCGAATCTTAGGTATCTGTTAATCATATGGGGAAATTGTGGCATTACTAATTTCAAAAAAATTCAAATGCTACAAATTAAATCAATAAAAATTTTATTTCAAATTCCATTTCGAACCCACACAAATGATTTATTCTCACAGACTGAACTACACACAATTAAATATCTACTTAAACTTGAGCAATGCAAGAGTATATATAAAATTAAAAACAAAAGAATTAGTTACGAGTTTATATTTCCTTTCAAGGCTATGGAAGACAAAAATTGGGAGTTAGCTGTCACACTACGAGGCAAATCATTCAAGAGAAACTTAGATACGTATAAGCTACTGACGCGTCTCAAACCCCCAAAAGACGCTTTTGACGATAGAGGCCATGGAAAAGTAAGTTCAATATTTTCGATTTTTTTTTAATCTGAAACACAATGTGAATATTCATTTTACTTTCAAAAGAATTGTATGAGAATCTTATTTACTTTTCATTTAACAATAGTTATAAGTATGTTTTGATCATAAATATTTTCAGTTCACTTGTGTGATACAAATTATAGGTGGTTTGAGGCAATATTCAGTAAGATATACAAAGTTGAAATGAGTAATCTATCACACACAAAGTTGAAAATATTTCTGAGATTTATTGTAACAAATTAATACTAATATTTTGGGAATTTTTTTTTACTGGTAATGATAGTGTCTATTATTTAACTTTCTTTCTCTATGAACTTGGAAAAAAAATGTTGAAGATATTGATCTCTCCATCAGAGATACTTTTTAAAGTGTTATTTGCTGACCTTGCAGAGTTGGATAAATATTGTTGAGAACCTGTTGTATAGTCTTGTCAAATGTAATTTATCATTTGAAATTCTATCTTTCATGTCACCAAATATTTTATTGTAGCAAGTTTTGAAAACTTCACCTCCGGTGTTTTTAGCATTTAAAATAAATCCACCATTTCTAAACCGTGTAATCACAGAAACAACTCTGGGTTCATAAATATTTTTTGAATCTTCTACATTTTGTACTGTTTTGTTCTGTTGTTCTGTTCTGTTGGATATGTATCAATGTCAATTTGACAGTGATGTGTCTCAAGCTAACCACTTTTCTATTGACTAAGATAAGTTTCTATATAAAACCTATTATTTTTTATTAAATTCAATAAAAGGACAAGTTGAATCAGTCAAATTTTCTCTTGTTTGTTTGTTCAGTTTTGTATTTATTCTGTTAGCCTGAGATGTGTGAAAAAATAGTGTTCAAACAGCAAACACAAGTGATTGTGAATTACTTTTATCCAAATCTGTTAGGTAATGTTCTAATAGATGTGTATTGCATGCTAATATTTTGTAATAATAATTATTCTTTTATTTTTCACATCTTGGTAATATCAACAAGTTATCTATATTTTTGACATCCTTTAAATGACGTAGAGACGGGTGAGAATGAGTGGAATNATTTTGTCGATGCACGATAGATGTAGGGCCGTAATAAACCAGCGTGGAGGCCATACTTTGTACTGATTCCAATTTTTTTTGTATTATGATTTTTTTTCGGGGTGCCAAAGAAGAGCCATATTTTTTTTAGTTTTGCTTATATGCGCACTCAGTATTTTTGACCATTCAATAAATTTTGTTGTAAGTTACATTCGTTTAATAATCACCCGTCAACTTTTTTTCCCTAAAGCGATCTAAAAAAAAATTATTGCCATTTTTAAAAATATCCCTAGACTTTTCCGATGTGTGTATATACATATATATGCATATAAAGTTCAATCGTATTGAAATAGCTTAAATACAGAGAAAAATATATATCTGCCTAAATATAGACATACAGTAAACAATTTTTCCCAAACACATACATTAAGTATAATGTATATCACATTTGCCAAAGTAAAAATACCATCATTAAGATAGAAAATTGGAACTCCAGTAGGCCCAAATAATACTTTTAATGTTTGATCGTTGAACACATTGTTCAACGATGGTCCAATTTGAATTCGTAGAGAAAAATTGGCTGAAAATCGCTTAATGACATCAAATAGTAACGGGCTGAAAAGGGGCAAAAAATTTAAATTTGATGAAAATGAACAGCATCGATATATAGAGAAATTAATTGTTATTATTATCAAGTTCAGATCAATATTTTTTTATGAATTTTTTTTGTACACTTTTCAAGAATTCTTAGACTCAAAGTAGGCGTTCTAGTAACCTAAGGGTTGCCTCTTGTAGATGTTAACGGCAAAAAAACCCTATTTTATCCATCAAACATCACTTCTAAGATTTTGACGTTGAGTGTTTATTGAATAGGTAAACTAGACAGTCAGTTTTTCATAGTTCAAAGCCCCAATATGCTTGTCTAAAAGTTGCTTAGTTCTGCTCTTCTACGCTTGACTACTTCATAACTGCAATCAGTTTCGTTCTTTTTCATGTACAAAATCATTTTCATTCGTTGTTCCGTTACCAAGGAATTTTTGTGATTTATAGGAAGGGTATACTTTTGCGGTAATGCACATTGGAGCTCCGGCATGTGGTATGAATGCTGCAGTACGTTCCTTTGTTCGTAACTCCATTTTCCGTGGAGACAGCGTGCTGGGAATACATGATGGCATAGAAGGACTCATAGCAGGAAATATCAAAAATATGGGTAGGTTAATTCACATTTATATTTATAGCTTGTTCAATATTGACACAAATATTAGTAATACAGACTATAGTAATTTCAATTCTGTTCCAAACAAATTCAAATAGTCAGCTGTGGCAGATCTAATAAATAATGTATACAGGGTGTAACTGAATAAGTGTGAAACATTTAAGGAGGTGATTCCTCATTGAAAAAAAGATAGGATCTTTCATATAAAGAAACTTCATTGGAGCATCCCTTGTTAAGATA